GCGGGCCCCGGGACGCCGCTGCCCCGCTGCAGGCCGGGGACAGGTGCCCGGGCACGGGGCAGCGGGCTCGGGGGAGCCCCCAGCCCGGAAGCCGCCGACGGAAGGTTTGCACCGGGTGGAAGGCGGGGTGAGGAGGGCATGGATGAGCGCACTGCAGGGTCCGTGCCGAGGTGACCCAGCCCAAGGGGGTGGATGGCACTGTGGCGTCTCCAGGCGGCCCCACTCTTCCTGGGGCACCCGGGTCAACCCGGCCCGACAGACGGGCCTTCGGGGAAAACAGGAAAAGCGTGTCCGCAGAAGACTGCTGTTGTAGGGTGCTGACCTTGAACTCCGGGGCTGAGGGGCTCCCCCTGGGCTTCAGTGTCCCCCACATAGCGAGGCGACCAAGGGACCCTTGGCTGCGCGCCTCTCCGCCTTACTTCTCACCTCCCACGTCCCTTTTCTCACCTCCAGCCTGCCCGTCCCACGTCTCTCCTGTGCCCCGCGTTGTTCCATCCTAACCCCCCCATCACACTTCTCCAGAACCGAAGCTTCCTTAGCAAACCGATGCGGTCCATGCCGGGGCAGGTGGGGACGGAGCTGGCTCGGGTGGACGTTTTCCATGGTTTTTTTCCCCCAGGGTCGGTCACCTAGAGTGAAGTTCGGCGTACGTTTCAATGTGTGGCAGATGTGGCTGATCACACGCTTTTGGGGTTGTTTTTACAGCAGTTGACCCCAGAACTCATTTTTTCAGGAAACGGCTTCCTTCAGAATGGTCAAAATAAAGGCATGAGGCGTTTGGACGTTTTTATCTCCGAGTGAGAATCTTCTGATGATGCAAGGAGTTTGAGATTTAATCCAAGCCATGTGGTAAAGTCGGGGGTCCGAAGAAAATGGAAAGGCCCGGGTTTCTGTGGCTGTGCCTCTTCCTGCCCGCGGTAAGGGGACACAGCCTTTTCACCTGTGAGCCCATCACTGTGCCCAGATGTATGAAGATGGCCTACAACATGACCTTCTTCCCCAACCTGATGGGCCATTACGACCAGGGAAAAGCCGCTGTGAAAATGGAGGTCAGTGCTCCTGAGGCCTTTATCGGAAATTGCTTTATACGTAGGTTGTTTTTTTAAACTATTATTTTATCTTTTCTTTTTCACAAGTCATGCTTATCAAATTACTTGTGAAAATTAAATCCCACCCCACTGTCATATTTTGTGTACAATTGGGGCCTCTAGTTAATTCGCTTAAAGGAAGCGAATTCGCTTAAATCACAATGAACAGTGATTACAGATGATTAAAATATTTTGTGTTTCCGAGTTTTGGATGGTTGCGTCTCTAAAATGATGAATTCTGAATTCTTTTAATGGTTGACTGAGTGTCTAATCTATATTGCTTGAGCTAAAATTGAAGAAACTTACATGTTTTTTAAAAAGTACTTGTCATTTGGTTTAGTTTTTTCCAAAGCAAATAAATTATTGGAACGTTTTGGCGTTCAGGATAATGTTTTACTGAAAAGTGACTTTTTTAGGCATAGCATTTGAGTATGTTGTTGTTTTCTGTAAGTTCCTTGTGAGAAGAAACCCCACTGGTAGGGTGAAGAACAGAGTGACACTAAAGATTGCCTTAGGTGCCTCAGTTACCCGCCTGTCTCTGGTTTAGAGATATGCAGATGTCTCAGGGAGCTGTGGGAAGAAAGAGCTACCTGTAGAGACAGGAACCTGCCCTGCCACACAGATCTGTTAGGTTGATAAGTTTCATGAAGGAAAAAAGAGACAAGTGTGTGTTTCTGTAATCTCTCTAGAAAAGCTGAAGGCAGTCAAGGTTTTTCCTCAGGCTGCCTCTAAGAGACAGAAACCCCTAGGAATGTAACTAGATAGGGCCTTTTAAAGTGGCTGCGTTTGCTCTTGCTGCTGTGAAGGTCTGCCATTGTCTGACTGCCTCACTCGAGACTCCTGTCTGGGTAGGACACTTTTTAAATACTGAGATATCATTTTAAAAGATTTACAGGTTACAGGTTTGTAATCTCTCAGGGGTTTTTCCAAACCAATGCAAACTCTCCTTCCCTTTCTTCAGACTGAGGACTGATCACTGGCCCTCTCAAATGCAGCGAGTTCCCCACTCTGCCACATCCTCCACCCTGTGAGGTGTTCTTGGAACACTCCACAAACGATGCGGGGAGACTTCCATCGTTTAATCAGAGCCATAAGTGTGTAGTGGGAATACCATCAAGCGATAATTACAGCCTTTGTTCTTGCTTTCTCTGATGATAATGTTCTACAACCCACTTTTTCAGTGAGTTTTTTCAAGCATTATATTTTCATCCGGCTTCCTCTCTGTGTTTAGCTACGTGCATTTTAAGTCTGAATGCTGACAGTGACTTAAAAACTCCTAACATTTACCCTGAGTTCCTTTGAGTTGGATGGCGGGGCAGGCCAGAAGGACGCGCTGCTGTTTTAAAGGCCTTTTCAAGACAGTAACAACTGGTTTCTGTCACATGCACTTTTATAAAGACAAGTGTTTGTTTTCTACCTTAAAAAGTTGTTCTTTTCCTCTCCTAGCTTCTTTCCCAGATAGTTTTAGTCTGGACCCCCTCAAGAAGGGTTTTTGCTCTTTATTCCAGTACTGACATTACCTGTCTCTCCCTGTATGACCTCCACAATACCAAGCGCTCCTGGCCTTGGGGCTGTCCAGGTTTCCTGTTACATTCCAGTGAATTAGTTTTAAGATATGGACTGAGGAATTTCATGGCGGTCACGGCAGCCACTTGTTCCTTCTTTCTTTTCTCATCTTTTTGCAAAGACTTCTATTTTGAGACAGAATCTTGCTTAATTGTCCCGTCTGGTCTTGAACCCTCTCTGTAGGCCAGGCAGACCTTAAACTTAGACACCTTCCTCCCTTTTCCTCCCAGTGGCAGAGGTTAGAAGTCTGCCAGTAGCACAGGATTTCTTTTCTTTTTTAGTGAACAGCGTCTTCTTGTGTTTTCCAGACTGGCCCAGAACTTGCTGTCTATCCTGGGCTGCTCTTGAGCTCATGATCCTCCTGCCTCCATGTTCTGAATGCTAGGATTATTTGAGTTCATGATCCTCCTGCCTCCATGTTCTGAATGCTAGGATTATAGACACTAATCACCATGCCTACTTCAAATGTACTTTCTTAGCTCCCAGGAATTCCATGTTAAGTCAAGAGATCTATCTTATTTCTCTCTTTTAACAATTAATTTATTATTAATTGTATGGGTGTGTATATGCACAGTGTGTGTGTGTGTGTGTGTGTGTGTGTGTGTGTGTACACATTGCATTCTTAGTAATATGTTATCTAGGCTGCATCTTACTTACTTTCCACGTGAATCATTTGTGCATTTGTGTGTGGCGTGAAGAGGCCAGACAGGAGTACATTGGGTGTCTTTATTGCTTTCCGCCATATTGTCTTGAGATACGGTCTCTGATTGTACTGGAATCTTACTGTTTTGTCTAGGCTGTCTGGCCAGCAGGCCTTTGGGATCCCCCATTGCTGGGATTACAGGCATGTACAGCCATGCTCAGCTTTTTATTTGGGTGCTGGGAATTCGAACTTAGGTTCCCATGCTTGCAACTCTTACTGCTTGTGGTGGTTTGAAAGAGAAAGGCTTTTTTTTTTTTTTTTTTTTTTTTTTAAGAGATAGGCTTATATGTGTGAATACTTGATCCCCAGTTGGTGAAACTATTTGAGAAGGATTAGGAGGTGTGGCCTTGCTTGGAGGAGGTGTGTCACTGTGGGGGACTTTGAGGTTTCAGAAAACCAGCACCTTTCTCAGTATCTCTCTCAGCCTCCTACTCGTGGATCAGTATGTTGGCTCTCAGCTACTGCCTCGCCTGCCTGCCTGTCATCATGCTCCCACCATGATGGTCATGGACTCTAACCTCTAACCATAAGCCCCAAATAAACTGTTTCTTCTATAAGTTGCCTTGGTCATGGTGTTTTATCACAGCAATAAAAATATCTAAGACATTCCTTGCACCATCTCGCCAGACTCTGAATGTGAATTAAATTTTTTTTTTCCTGGCCCGGCGGTGGTGGGGCACGCCTTTAATCCCGGCGCTTGGGAGCCAGAGCCAGGCGGATCACTGTGAGATCAAGGCCAGCCTGGGCTACAGAGCGAGATCCAGGACAGGCACCAAAACTACACAGAGAAACTTTGTCAAAAAACGTATTATTTTTGAACTATATGTATGTGCATATGTTTGTGTGAAAGTATTGCATGTGAGTGTAGAGAGACCAGAGACCAGAAGAAGTCATCAGATCCCCTGGAGTTGGAGTTACAGGCAGTGCTGAGCTACGGACATGGGTACTGGGGACTGAGCTGCGGCCCTCTGGAAGAGGCAGCAAGCACTCTTGACTGCTGAACCGTCTCTCCAGCTCCACCCTGCCCCACCATGTGAATTTTGTTGTTGTTTTGAGACTACATGGCTTTTTCTGGCTTAGAACTTGCTATGTTGACCAGGCTAGCCTCTAACTCATAGAGATCCACCCACCTCTGCCTCTGGAGTGCTGGGATTAAAGTCATGGACCACCAGTCCCTACTCTATATGAATTTTTAGTCAAATTTATCACAAGTCAAAAGGATCTGACAGGGATATCATGGCTCTTCAATTTTGCTTCAGAAATTGCTTGAAATAAGAGATTTCAGTTTTTCTCCTCATTTTATTAGCTAAGCATAAGGTCATGTGTGTTACAGAGTTAAGTTGTGACTCTGAGCAGTAGGTTGGCTTTGTAATAAAGGATGTTGTGCAACTGAACTCTCCCCGGTGGGAAAACAAATGGCGGCTGGTTTTCCATTATGTTTCTTTTGTTTTCTATCAAGAGCATCGCTTCAGAACTTAGGAGGTTGACATCCTGTGAGAAGCTGATTTCATATGCTAGGACTGAGGTTGGTCTAGGGAAAATGGAAACAGGAATATTGTATTATTCTTTGTTGAAGTCCAGGCAGAACCCGAGTCATGTGTTGTGTTTAGACCAGCATGTGGCCATTCTGCTTTTAAACAGTTTAAAGGAAGTAAGCCACAAAAAAAAACCTTCCTTTCCATATTAAAGTGTCGATGTTCAATTAAAAAAAGGAATGGACAAATACTGGATCAGCAGACTTCTAAGAAAAAAATGTTTCTGTGTAGAGTGACTTTTTTAGACATTTGCTTTTTTGTGCTTTTAGAGGAATCCAGTGGACTCTGTCCTGATATCATTTACCGCCTCCTTCATTCTTATACCCAAGTCTGTAAAGGAGAGCAGATGTTTAGTGTGGCCCCGCTACTTTGCTTTAGGGTGTACTAGGTAAAACAGGTGTGGCTCTCCCACAAGTAATATAGGGGTCGTAGTGAAATACATAAACACTTGAGAGTGTTCTCTGTCAGAAGTATCATAGCTGCTGTTTTAAACAGAGACCCACAGCTCACTTTCCCTTGGGATGTTGTGTTGTAGATACAGGGGAAGCCCCCCGACTACTTCTGGGTCTACTGAGTAAAGGTAGACCCCATGTGAACAGAAGGGTCTGTGACTAGGCACAGACCTCCCACTTGTTCCTAGGTCCCCCAGTCTCGGATGCTGTCAGTCATGCCCTCTGAAGAGCCTGTCCACAGAGGGAAGACTGGTGATTGTTTTCTTTCCTTGAAAATGTGGAATGCAGATAATAATACGTTTTATTTCTCCATTTTGTGTATTTATAATATATTTATTAATATTTATTGATGGTACCTGAATGTATGGTTTTCTCAGAATTAGCTTTCCATGTTGGACAGTTGCCTATCTAATATCAACCAGTAGTATGTATATTTTTCCAGTTTTCCAAAGGAAATAAATGGTATAATGCTCCCTGCCAAGAAATATTTTTCAGATCCATATGGAAATGTTGTGCATTTTTAATTTTTATTGTCTGGAAGCTTCACTTTACATTTGTTAAAGAAGCTGACTAGCCTGAGATTGAACTCGTTGATAAAAGCAAGTAAAAACATTTGTAACACAGCAATACATAATAGATTGATTTTCTTAAAGAATTCACTCTAGGCCAGGCATGTTGGTACACACCTTTAATCCCAGCACAGGG